AATATTCACTGGACTTTTTGTATTGTTTTGGATATCTTTCTAAAAGAGATGCACTAGTTAAACCACAAGTTATTGTGTTTGATATTCATTTATGCAGTAGGGAAGACTGATTCCCTTTGCAAGAATTACTAGGTGAAATTGTAAGGGCTTGTGCCATGCAGGAGGATAATCAAAATAGATTATCATATTGGTCCCTTTTAGCCTTAAGATATATGCAGGACATTAAACTTTTCTGTGTCCTGATTATCTTGTGGTGTTCACTGCAGCTTCCTCTTCTTTGGTCTCCCTGGAAACCACATCTCTCTCGTGCAGAAAGTCACAGCTAAAATTCCCATGTCTCTGGCTGTGTGTGGCCTTCCACAATCCATTTTGACCTAGTCTTCAGTGCCATAGACAATTCCTTCAGTCCTTACTTATCCAACCTAGTTAGTCTCTTACCACATCACTTTTTTTGTGTATGTAAGCAAGATATGTTAGTGAGTCCAAGCTGCGAAAATGTGAGATTTGTCTTGTTACTTGACATGTGGTGAGTCTTGTCTTTGGCAGGAAGGAAACCACCTTTTGCTAGATTTAATCCCCACTCTAAAGTGGTGTTGAGTCTCTTGCAATAGACTTATGTACCCTATAATAGATTTTTAGAGTGATTAAAGATTAGATAAAATTACCTGATTTACCTAATAATTTTGTTTTATACTGCCCATGTTTCAAATCTTTGATGTACGGACATTTTCCAAGTAGTTTCAAACAGATTACAGCATAACTGCAGACATATAAAAGCACTTGTAACTACTGTATGTGGTTTGGCACTAATTTTCCAATCTCTAAATTGTGGATCTCCATGTGTGTAAAGTGGGAGTTCAAAAATTATTCCATTTTAAAGTTAGATTTTTGATGAAAAATTGCACCCATTTGCTCAGCCCATTAGTCCGAAAGTTATTAATAAAATAAACATCATTCTGCACCATAAACATTAGTTTTAATTGCCATATTTGTTCTGCCTGCTGGCCTTGGCTGACATGCTTAAAAGTGATGTCATTTAAAATAAAAGATGTAAGGGGACTAAGTCAGACTGAATACATCTGTATTGTACTCTAATACTGTTTTCTTAAATGTTTTTAAACATTGATTTCTTTCAGCAATATGCAAACTGGATGGATTTTTAAGTGTTAGATCTCATACTGCAAAAGTAAATCACCCCCTGCCCCATAGGATAACTGCCACCAGGAGCCAACTCTTAAATACCAGTTGAATTTATTAAAAAATGTTAAACTGGTATATAAGAAATATTTGAGTTCATTGGCGTTTAATAGAAAACGGCATCAATTTTTCAGAGTTCACCTTCTATTTGCCTTTTGTAATGTGATTGTATACTTTTAATTTCCTTGATAGTATTTGTTTGAAGGCAGTGAATGAATTCTTTGTGTCATCTTCACTGCAGAGGATGTCAGGGAGATTCCCACACCTGAGCCATTCTTTTTAGGTGACAGATCTGAGGAACTGTCCCAGATTGAGGTGTTAGTAGAGGAGGTTTTGGAGCAGATTGATAAATTGAAGAGTAAGAAGTCACTAATACCAGATATTGAGAATATTCTGAAGGAACTCAAATATATTGCAGAACTAACAACTGTGGTATGTAAACTATTGCTTAAATCAGCCTCTGTACCAAATGGCTGGAGGGTAGCTAATGTAACGCCAATTTTTAAAAGAGGTTCCAGAGATGATCCTGGCAATTTTAGGCTGGTTAAGTGAACTTCAGTACCAGGCAAATTGGTTGAAACTATAGTAAAGAACAGAATGATCAGATACAGATGAACACAATATGTTGGGGAAGAGTCAACGTGGTTTTTGTAAAGGGAAATCATGCCTCACCAATCTATTAGACTTCCTTGAGGGTGTCAACAAACATGTGGACAAGGGTGATCTAATGCATATAATATACTTGGAATTCCAGAAAGCCTTGGAGAAGGTCCCTCACCAAAGACTCTTCAGGAAAGAAAAGAGACATGGGATAAAAGGGAAGGTTCTCTGTTGGATCAGTAACTGGTTAAAAGATGGGAAACAAAGGGTAGGAATAAATGGTCAGTTTTTACAGTTGAAAGAGAAGAATAATGGGGTCCCACAAGGATCTGTACTGGGACCAATGTTGTTCAACATACAAATGATTTGGAAAAATGGGCTAACAGCAAGATGGCAAAGTTTTCAGATGATACAGTATTACTCAGGATAGTTAAGTCCAAAACTGACTGTAAAGAATTACAAAAGGATCTTCCAAAACGGGGTGACTGGACAAGAAAATAGCAGATGAAATTCAGTGTTAAGTGCAAAATGATGCACCTTGAGAAATATAATCCCAACTATACCAACAAAATGATGCCATCTAAATTTGCTGTTACTACTCAAGAAAGATCTTGGAGTCATCGTAGATAGTTCTCTGAAAACATCTCAATGTGCAGTGGCAGTCAAAAAAAAAAAACTAGCAATGTTAGAAACCATTATGAAAGGGATAGATGATAAGACAGAAAATATCATAATGGCACAATGTAAATCCATGGTATTCCCACAGCTTGAGTACTGCATGCAGTTCTGGTTGCCTGTTGAGGGGTTCAGTGTCTGAGCCCAGCTGCGCCACCCAGTGATGAGTCTGTAGGGCTGGTGGTAGGGGAACCCAGATCCACCCTGCTCTACTGGGTTCCGACCTTGGGTCAGTTGGCAGTTAGATATGCAGCCTGAGGTGGACGCCTGCCAAACCTGCTCCCTGGGTCATTTCCTACCACAGCCTCTGCCCCTCCAAAGTTACTGCAGAGTCTGCTTATGGACTCACCAAGTGTGGGGGTTCTCCTTGGTAGATATCTGGAAGCTCTTCCCCATCAGTTGCAGCCTACTGTTCCCTGTCTCCATGGGGGCCTTTGGCATCTGTCTGCCAAAGTGGGGTCAGCTCCAGGCAAAGTGTAGCTCCTGCAGCCTCTCTGCAGGAGCTAACAGCGTAGGACTGCTCCCTTGCTCTGTCTGTGATGACAGGCCTGGGCTGCTGCCTTTTGAGCTTTGCGCGCATATCCAGCAGGTGCAGCTTGGTGGGGCCTTTTGAGCCCAGAGTTTCCTGTTTAACCCTTGGTTCCCCAGTGTGGGGCTTATACATCATATCACATCACCTGCTATCTAAAACAATATATTAGAATTGGAAAAAGTACATAGAAAGGCAACAAAAATGATTAAAGGTATGGAACAGCTTCCATATGAGGAGAGACTAAAAAACTCAGACTGTTCGGCGTAGAAACAAAATGACTAAGGGTGTGTGTGTTATAATGGAAGTCTATAAAATCATGAATGATGTGGAGGTCAAAAAGGAAGTGATGTTTACCCCTTCACATAACACATGAACCAGGGGTCACCCAATGAAATTAATAGGCAGCAGGTTTAAAACAAACATAAGGAATACTTCATCATACAACACAGTCAACCTATGGAACTCATTGCCAAGGGATGCTGTGAAGCCGAAAGTATCACTGGCTTAAAAAAAATTAGATAAATTCATGGAGAATACGTCCATCAATGGCTTTTATCCAAGATGGTTATACCTATCTCATAGAACTGGAAGGGACCTCGAAAGGTCATCGAGTCTAGCCCCCTGCCTTCACTAGCAGGACCAAGTACTGATTTTGCCCCAGATCCCTAAGTGCCCCCCTTAAGGATTGAACTCACAACCCTGGGTTTAGCAGGCCACTGCTCAAACCACTGAGCTATCCCTCCCCCCAACTGCATACTCTGGGTGTGTCTAAGCCTCTGACTACCAGAAGCTGGGATTGGATGCCAGGGAATGGATCACTTGATAATTGCCATGTTCTGTTAATTCCCTCTGAAGCATCTGACATCGGCTACTGTCATAAAACAGGATACTGGGCTAGGTAGACCATTGGTCTGACCCAGTGTGGCCATTGTTGTGTGAGCCCAGTAGTGCCATGTGAGTGTAAAATACATATACCCCCCCCATCCCCGAAATATAAAGTGTTTTAGGTAGTTTTGTAAACCATTCATTTTTTTTTTTATTTTCTTTGTAAAGGCCAAATTTTGGTTGTAATAGTTGTTGCATCAGTCCATCTGTACCATTAACACAGTAGATTTAACCTCTCTTAGAAATCATTCAAAATATGTCTAATAATCTACTATTCTTCAGGGACTGTGGGACTGATCCAAAGCCCACAGAAGTAAATGGGACAGTTTCAATGGGCTTTCCATTTGGCTTATATTATTCTCAGTTTCTTTTAAAACCAAAACAAACAAATCCAGTAAAACCACAAACAGAAAAAGAAATGCAGTCCATGTTCAGGGAAGCAAATTATATTGTACATTAAACAATTACAATATCATTCAATTCCTATCCACACTTATTTAGTTACTTAATGTTAATGGATAAAAAATCAAATATTGCTCTTTGTTATAGGTTTTAAGACAGTTCTCTGTGCCATATTATTCCTCTACAGAGTCTTTGCTCTTTTTTGGTAGGAGGTACTGTGGTTGGTTGGATTGAACTTCAGAATTCAAATCAAGATTTGAGACCAGAGGTCAGCTTGAGATGCTATGTGGAGATACATACTGCTTTTTTGTTCTCCAGAATCTAAGCTTTCATTTAAAAAAAAAAAAAGGCTGTCTCGTTGTTATGGTTACTGAGAGATCCTCAAAAAAAAAAAAATTGCGTAAATGTGTATCTGCATTTGCAGAACCCCCCAAAATGACTGAGGCATTAAGTGCCTCATTCATCTCAATGGGTACTAAGTCAGATTCCCAGAGACAATACTTTATATATCAACATTATTAGCAATTTCACTGCTTCAGCACATTTTAGGTATGTTGGTATAAAGGTGCTTTATTGTTCAGGGAATTTTATCTTTTGTGCTTCAACTCATTTTGTCAATATAATTCAGAGTGATGGGGACTGGATTTCACTACATCTTACTTGTCTTTTATTTGATTGAAGTTCTCAGACTATTTTTTGTCATTAACAGACAGCATTATTGAAACGTCAGGGTCGATATATATGCTCTACTGTTCCTGAAAATGCAGAAAAGGAAGCTCAAAGCTTGTTTGTAACTGAGGTAACGTTTATTTGTGTGTGTGTGTGTGTGTGTGCGCGTGCACGTCTAAATAGTTTAGTTGTCTACTTGCTTCCGTAGATTAAATTTCAATAGGGCTGAAAAAATTTACCAGACACTTATTGGCATCTAGTTGTTAAAAAAGACAGGAGGATTCCACAGATGGGTTTAAAGGCAGAAACACAGTGATCCCTCTCTTAGCTGCTGGAAATGAGGGGTGATGTCCTAGCATCTTACATGGGAACAATCTTTCATATCAGGTATGGCTAATAGGAGTTTGAAACTTCTTACTCTGTCTCCTCTCTTGGCTCTTTTGGATTGTTGGGGGCTTTTCCCTTCCTCCCTTCTGTCTCACCGCTGTGTATCTCCTCACAGTTTTCCCATCCACAGCAAAGTGAAATTTGCAGGATTCTGGTCAGTGTTGCTGCTTCAGAATAACATTGGGAAGGGAGCTATGGAGCTGACCAGAGTCTGGTTAATTTCACTTTGTTGCTGATGACTTTCACCTATTGACCAGAAGAAACTTTATTCGCCACTGGCGAGACCCGTTTTCAAGTATTTATATCGCAGTAAAATTGGCGGTAAATTGTACTGTTTTAGGAACAAGTTCAGGGCACAGACAAGCCCTCACAAACCTTTGTGTTTTGTCCCCAAGATCTGAATATTTTGGGTCTGTGTCAGCTATTTATATTTTCTGTGCTTTGCAAATGAGACTTCTGTATGGAGTATGTCACTGTAGAGTATATTTGGAGGTGGGGGCTGGTGTGCATGAGTTAAATCACGAATTTTAATGAAACATCTAATTTATACACACTTTAAAAATTATTGCCTAGTAAATGTTGACTTTGTACTTTACAAAGTATGTATACAAATGCATTGGAAATATGATGGAGTATATTTGTGTGTGTGTTCATATGATGTCTAAAAACTTCAAGTATTGTATTATATTGTCTCTTGCAAGATACTTGAATGTTTTTTATGCTACTTCTGCTGAAGCCAAGATAAATTTGTCTGTTAGTTACAGCAACATGGGTGGAGTAAAATGATACTTCCTGTGATCTAGTCCAGAACAGAATGACATAATTGCTTTTCAACAGCTGCAAGCATGCAGTTTAGATTAAAAACATTCTTGTAGTTGGGTTAAAAATATAAAATTGAATACCTACAATCATAACTTTCGATTTTAGTTCTTCCAGGATAGAAAGTACTAAGTTGATCCTGCTATTTTGATAGTACATCTATATTTTTAGGCTAAATATACTCAAGACATTTTATCATATTGTTTCCACCTACATTTAGCTTCTTTGCTTCTCAGGAACTAGGAGGTGATGTTTTTATTTCAGATGACTAGTCTATCATTTTCTGAATTTATAAATTCCTTATGCTTTTAGCATTTGTTTCCAGCAACTAGTTCATTTGACATAAACACACTTGTGCAGCTTCTGAATCTGAACATTCACCATACTGGCAAGATATATTTCATGTTTAACAAAAGAAACAAAATGTGACATTCACAGAATAAACATTTATAATGCATTTGAACTTGCAATGCTTTCCAGGTAACTATAATAATTCACAAACAACTGTAATGTAAGAGAGCCGTTACATGTATTTAGGGAGTGCTTTCAGCTAAACTTACTTAATTTGATGTATTGTGACATTTGTTTCCATTGAAATAGTGCATCAAAACCTACAACTCAGACTGGCATGTTGTCAATTATAAATATGAAGACTACTCAGGAGAGTTTCGACAGCTTCCAAAGTGAGTAAATTATCTGATACTGTTAGTTTTTGAAGTTGCAGAAAAACTTCATATATATATATATATATATATATATATATATAATCATATGACATATGACATATTGGGTCATAAAAAAGTCATTTCATGTAATATAGAACCTCAGATCTAGCCTACCAGTGTTAATACTCTGTACTGTACCCTGAGGTTTTCAGGGTAGAATTCATATTGGTTAATTTTTCTTAGCCTTTTGAAGATATAAAAGCTGTTGAATTGATATCTGACAAACTATCATAATAAAGCTGCCTTGGTAATTGTGGGATAACCAGAAGAAGAACTTGGATAATATTGATAAAAATAAAACTGATAATTAAAATATGGTAAGAGTTGTTTTACGCTACTGTGCCAATATACAGTCTTTTCAGCATTGATGGCAGCTTCAACAACTTTCCACAAGTTTGGAACAGAACCTTTTCTCACACACACACACACACACACACACACACACACACGCACGCACGCACGCACGCACGCACGCACGCACGCACGCACGCACACACACGATTTTAACAGAGAGAATGAATGCAACTATTTTATATTTATAGAGCATTGTAAGAATACACAGCACTTCAAACATCTTTTGTCTGTTTTTTTTAAAGTCTGCATGGAAAGGAGTATTAATGAAAGACAGGCACTGCTTTTCTGAAACTAGGATTTGTCTTTTTCCATCTTTGTGGTGGGCACACACATTTTATAGGATGTAGGTTTAAAGTAAAGAGATCAATTTTTCTTCCTGAAATTGCCTGTGGAGAGCCTCACAGATGTTGCATGCCTCACAGGTCCTGAACCATTTAAAAGCAGGTAACTGAGGTCATGTGCCTATGTCAACTACTGGACCTAAATTCTGCAGCAAGTATCTCCTTTTCTGAAGTGGTCCGATGCTGAATTATTGGAGAAACATGTCGCTTCAAGTAGATGAAAATGGAGGTTTTTTTATTGAATTAACTATGAAAATGAATAATACAACTTGTACAATATTTCTTTTGTTATATACTTTTTTTGTTGACCCAGTATTTTCAGCATGCCACAGAATTTTTTTGTATTGACAACACCACAACTGAGCTGTAGAAGTTGTCAGAGGGAAGCTTTTGACAAATGGAAAGATATAGGAGGTGATTCAGGTTTTTGTCACCCGAGGGTTACTGTTGGCATTGGTGAAAGGATGTTCCTTCCTTTCATATTTTTGGCACAGGTGGATGTGGCTTAAAAGTTTTATTTTTATATTTTGTGTGGCTTGAATTGCTAGTTCTTCTACCTCTGCAACCCTTGACATCAACCAACTGCCACCTTTTCCCTTTCCCAACTCTGTCCCACTATCTATTGCTGCAGATGAAAACAGTGCAAAAGCATGTGAGCTGAATGTTCCCTCTAAAATGATCAGTGAAATTGCTGAATATTTTTACAATTAAAATTTTGCTCTTAGACCTTAGAGTTAACATGTTGAGGTGAATAAAGGGATTCAGTTCCCTAGCAGATACTTTTCGATTTGTTGGCAGGAAGGGTCTACTAGGTGTTTTGCTAAGTACTAAATTGGCTCAAATTTTGAATGTTTTCTTTGAAAATGCAAGGGTTAACCTTTTTTTATTTTTTTTAAATGTTTTTAAGGAGAAAAGAGCTTCAATTCAGAATTGAGCTAGAAATTCTGTGTCCTTTTTTAATGTAGGAAATAATTTAAAAATTAATGCCTCTGGACAAATGATGTTGTATCTGAATTCTCCTCCTCCTCCCCAACTCTAGGTCCCTTTTGTACTGCAAATTCACTTTATTCATCATGGGTTTTTTTTCCTACTTGTATGGCTTCAACCACTACTTCATGGACCTAGGTAGCTTTTCTGTTGCCTTTTTTAGTTCTCTTCCTGTAACTTTTCCTTCTAGCATTCTTTTTTTCAGATGTTGTTTTAATTACATTGCCAAATACTTGATCTCAAATTAATTAAAAGTGATCAGTATAATCACCTTCACAATATTTGATATGTCATCGGTCTTTTTAATCTCTAATGTTTATATTGATTGATAATTTCAGTTTGAAGGCCTCCAACCTTTTAAATCTGTGTTCAGGACTTTTATTTTTACTGTAACAAACTGAATTGTCAAATGACAGATAATTTATTCATTCTTTTTAATTAAGTGCTTCCGTATGAAAATTGTTGAATGTTTCTTGCCTGGTTTACCTTGGAGATTCCCAAAAAGCCAACTCAAACCCGATAGCTTATGGTGCAATGACTAAAACATTATATTCTTTTTTTTAATTAAATAAATGAAGAATGAGAATGAATTTAATCTTGGCAGCAAAGGGTGGCTGTAGCTGTTTAGCCTGGCCATCATTCTGTTCTCCTGATTGGCAGATCCCCAGGTCAAATCTTTTGCCCGGCTGGAGAAACCATGCGACCCACCGAACCTTGGACATGTGGTTTGCACCAAACTGTGGAATTGGGAATTGGTCCTGCTTTGAGCAGGGGGTTGGACTAGATGGCCTCCTGAGGTCCCTTCCAACCCTGATATTCTATGATTCTATGACCCTCAGAGAGTGTTCGAGCTGTCACTGAGACAGACTTAGGCAGTCTCCAGCAGTCTTAGTCCCAGTTACACATGGAATCTCACTATTGTGGAAAATATGTGCCAGTTTGGGGGTAACTGCACCTTTGACCCCCCTCCATTGTCTGCTTTAGGAATGCTGTTCAGGTTTCAAGCCTTTAGCCTTCACCTCTCTCTGGGCAAGGACCTGTGTCCTTTCTCTCCAGACTGGAGTTTTTGGCTGCAGTTCCTCCCCCACAGTTCACTGTAATGCGCCCACAAGCCAGTCTGCCTAAATCCCCGAGTCTGTTTAAACTCCATCTTTATAACTGAAGTTCATTCTTTGTCTCTTGCCTCTCCTCTGGGATTGCTTTAAACCAGTATATGCAAACCACCCTGGGGACGGGTACTTCACTAGTGCTGTTCACAATCTTGGGAACTGCAGTAATCACCCCCCACTGATTTTAATTCCTGGAGGAGCTGTGGTAACCCTCCCCTTATTGAGTCATATACAGTCCCTAGCCCACAGTGGTACATAAAACATTCATAAACTTAATACGGTATGGACCCTAAAAGTACTGCATGCATATCTGTCACAATATGCTCCTCCCCACCTGCAGTCCTGACCCTAACAACTGAATAAATATACTCTATCCCCACCCACTAAAGACTTACTGCCCCCAAAGTTGCAACACAACATAGTGGAACTTGTGGAAACTCAAATGTGGTTCTTGCTTGACCCAAATTAAAAACCCAATGATTAATCAGTATAACATACATTCAGAAATTAAATGCAAATACAGTATCTCAAAGTTAAGGACTGACTGCTTGTCCCAAATCCTGTTCCCAGCACAGAGGGGAATAGAAGGAAAAATTATGGTGCAGCAGGAGGAGAGCACTTACTCAGTCTAAGGCAGCTCTCCCCAGGCCAATAAGAAGTCTGTGCAGACGGCAGAGGGCAGAAGATGCAACTGTGGAAAATGGCTTAGGTGAATTCTGTTCCACCAAGGAGCACATATTACTGCCTCTTAATAGTGTGATTTATATTTTCCTTTCAGAATAATTGTAAAAGGTTGGATACTGAATGATTGTGTAAGTGATCACAAAATATCTGAGTATTAAGAATTTTTCTTTCTTCTTTAGCAAAGGGACCAAATCAGAGAAACTTCCAGTTCATGTATATGAAGTTGATGAAGAAGCAGATAAAGATGAGGTGAGCAGATAATAATTTATTTCTTTCTATTCGGTAAGATTATTTCATTAGAAATAGTCTCTTAAATGTTTATATCGAGTAAAAATAGAGGTTTAATTTGATAGTCACTTTAGACTTTAAAAAGGTTTGAAAGTGGGAAATCTATAAGTGCACTGGATGCTGGTTTTTAACTACTCTTGTGTTCCCAATGTCTGTCATATTTATGGAGGAGAAATTCTGATAGCAGAGAGAATGAGTTTATATTGGAGGTGAGGGGATTATAACTGGTGAGGGCTGGTTTACACACAAACTTGCACAAAAATAACTAAACTGTTCTTAATTCACATCATTTGCTTTCATGCAAGTGTGTGTGTGTGTGTGTGTGTGTGTGTGTGTATACTCATTTTGGAATAAATGTTCCATTTCAGTTTAACTTGCAACTGAAGCAAAGTGGGAATAGAACAGTTTTATTCCAAAGTAAGTCCACACACACACACTTGCACCAGAATAACAAAACAAAACAAAGATTAAAAAATAGTTATTTTGGTGTAAGTCTGTATGTAGACCAGCTCTGAGAATGTCAGAGAAAGCAGGAACTAATCAAAAATGGCTGAAACCTTTTTACTTATTTTCCTTCCAATCCTCTGCTTCCTGAGAACAGTGATTTCAGGTAGTGCCAGCTGGTTTCAAGAAGGTTTCAAACTTCAAAATATGTTTTTCAACAAACAAACTCTGTCTGTTGACTGTATACACTACATAGTTTTTACCGTGGTATATTTTAGAACAAGAGATTGAATGTTGAGGCTGCTGCCTTCTTATCTCATAAATATTTCAGCTCCCTTATAGTACTGTGAAAGCCTTCAAGTAAGCTAACTCAATTTTGTATTTCTTATCATATAAGTACTGCTGATAGTAATGCTCAGTACTTACATAGTGCTTTTTAATCTCCAAAATACTCATCACTAAATAATTAATTATGTGTGTAAAATAGAGCCAGTCCTTGATTGACTCAGTGGTGTAATAATCCAAGCATAGTGGTTCAGTAGATAGGACTCTGGATGAGAAGTCAGAAGATTTGAATTCCATTCCTGCTTCGGCACTGATGTGCTTCGTGACCTAGGGCAAGTCACTTCACTTATCTGTGCCCAAGTTTCCCCATCTGTAAAATGGGAATAATATTTTTTTAGAATTCTTTGAGGTGAGATAAGACCTAAATATTATTATTTCTGAAGTCTAGCATTTCTGATATCACAGCTCATCACCACAAAAGCTATTTAGATACCATTAAATGAATCAGGTGGTGAAGGAGCCTAGTGTGAATAAGAAAAAATAAACTTTGCTACAGTAGTTACAGTATTTCCTACTAAAGTTAAACAGGTGAAGGAAAAATACCAGAACTCTCATACTGGAGTATAGTAAAATTTGGAATGGCAATCACTGTAGAAGATGTCTGTTTATACATAAATGCCTCTACAAACAATAGTAATAGGAAAAGAAATCCAGAAAAAATGACTTCAATGGGCACTTAAAGTGCCAAATGATACACAACTTCATGGATAAAACTGTCCAAATAGAGCAAGAGGTTTTTCTTCTTTTGGACTGTCAGGCTTTTTTGTGGGTAAAATAAGTTGCTTTGTATCTAAAAATCATTTTATGGGGGATGTATAAAACGAAATTATTAAGTTTGCAGATAATGGAAAAATTGAACGAAGAGCAAATTAGGAACAGTGCCATCAAATCTGAAAAAAAAAATGCACATGTTGTAATAAAAGGATTTGGATAATTCAAGCTATTGGGCCAACAGATAGCAAATGCTGTTTGATGTAGGTGAATTTTAAAATCAGCCTGAGAGTGAGGAATGAAGCTAGTGTGTAGGTGATTGTTGGAACAATAATCTGTTCAGGAGTAGGCTTTGGATCTTATTGTGGAAAAATCATTGAAAACATAAACCTAGCATGCAACAACAATACAAATGGGGAAATGAGCCTATAATCTGTAGGAAACAGGAAGTGAATTTTCAATGGAAAAGCATTGTGCTGTTGGCCAGGGACTTTGCCTTCCTTTGAATTAACAGATGGAGCAGTTTAAAAGTGCATTAGCTTTTCTCCTCTGGAGACTTGAGTTCAAACTTTCAAATGGTGGAATAGGTGAACACACAATAATTCCATTTCTACCACAAAAACATTACACAGTTCAGCAGAATTGGCAAACTCAGTTCAACAGAGGCCTGGAACTAGAAAAACAAAGTTGTCTTAGGTCAGAATTTAGGCCTGGTCTACACTGAAAAGTTAGGTCAACTCACCTAAGTTGCTCATGGGTGTGAAAAATCCACACCCCTGAGTGCTGTAGTTAAACTGGTGTAGACAGTGCTAGGTTGAGGGAAGAATTCTGAATCTCGGGGAGATAGATTACCTCTGCTGATTGGAGAATCCCTCCCGTTGGCATATGTAGTGTCTACACTGAAGTGCTACAGTGATGCAGCAACACTGCTGTATCATTTCAAATGTAGACAGGCTCTTAGATACCCCTTCTGTTTTAATTTGTGCCAGAGAAAAGAGGGAGCTTGTAGTTGGAAACAGTGTTCCCCAGCTGACTTACTGAGGTATTTATAATGTACTAGCGCTGAGATACCTGAGTACTTTTCAAAGCAGTGGGCAGGGAATTGCTAGATTTTGAGTCGGGCTAGTGAATGTTAACATTTGATGGTAGGTCTCCTATGACCCAACAGGCTAAGGGTGACTGGGACTAGGGGCCTGACCAGGAGCAAGCAAGCTCTTCAGTGAGACAAGGAAAGAATTGAGGCCTACCCACAGAGAACAGTAGTCCTCTGGGGGACTGTTGAACTACCACCAGCATAAAACCATGTTAACTGGCATTTATGAATTTTACGATTTATATGTGCAGCCCTCTGTGCATATTTTTGTGGCTGCTGGCACACATGTATAGGCTGCTGCTAGCCAGAATAAATATGCATATTAATGGAGCTTTTAAAAGAATAATTTATTGTTCTGTTTTAGTCTCTGGTACTAAACCATGTTAATTTGAAACAGTCCCCTGTAGATATACAAACTTCCATCCCATGTCCACTTGATAGCTGGCTACTTCTTGATATCCAAATATGTTACAAAGAGTATTTTCCTCCTTTCCATGCCTCTCTAGAGGGCTGAAACTACTCCTTCTAGTCCCCATTCATTCATTCTTTTGTCCTACCAGAATGGGTTACCTCAACTTGATATGTGGTGCTACACTTGAAGACCATTCAAGCTTCAGCTAGCAGTTACTTATTTAACAGTGCTTCTTGTTTGTTACATTTGTGCTCCTTAGAATGTTTTGTTTTTAAAATTAATTTTTGGGTGAAATTCAAGCTTTAGGTTTTAAACCCAAAAGCCCTTGATATCTTGGGTTCTGTTTATCTAAGGTACCTCATCTCTCGTGTTACACCGGGACAACTGACGTCATCTGAGACACTCAAGTTTGCAGTCCCTAAAGCTTTGTATATCTGAAGAATTTGCCAGGCATTCTCACATGCATCTTCCCTGGTTTGGGCTACTGTGAAAACAAATCAGGCCCATGCTTCTGTGGCTCCACAGGCTCCCAGTCTCCTTCTGGTATTCATTTAAGTCCTGGGTCATAATCTTCCAAGCAATTAATGGATCAAGCCCTATTTACATTTACAACTGTATTTTCATCCATGAATCCTTGAATCCTATGCTCCTCTGCCTGGACTTCGATATGCATTGTTCCAAAGTGTGTGAAAGCTGGGGACAAATCATTTCTGGTGGAGGGGATGCATCTATGGCATGAATTTCCAGAGGAAGTAAATGAATCCGTGGTTTGACCGTCTTTAGGAAATACTGCAAAACCGTCTTCCTCTTTGACAAAACCTTTTCACCATAACAAGAATGACATTCCACAACACTGACATACACTCCCTCCTCCCAAAACAACAACAAATTAGACCTGAAACTAAAATTAAAATAAAAATCCCTACCCAAGCAAAGTTTCTATACCCTGCAAATAGAAAACAATCAGAGGATTCATGAAATGCACTAAGGACTTAACTATTGCTAATGGATTTTATGTGAAAGGTGCTTAGGTAGAATGGTAATGGGCAACAGTATAAAATCCTAAAATAGAGTTTTGAAGATTGTTGTGATAATTGGGCTACAGATTTACCTTAATTGTAAATTCAATTGTAAAAAGTATATGAAAGTTCATAAAATGTTACGATAACCTATAACCACAACTGTTGATGGAAAGCAGTTTCAGTTTGTGCAATTTTGTTTTAGGATGCAGCATCTCTAGGATCTCAGAAGGGTGGGATAACTAAACAAGGATGGCTGTACAAAGGCAATATGAATAGTGCAATCAGTGTAACTATGAGGGTAAGTTTACTAACGTCCTGTGCCACACTAAAAGACAACTGTTTATAGATATTTAATATTTCAGTATGATTTTTCTCTGAAAAGTAGATGTGTATACTTTGCTTTTGTTAAAAAGAACATAGGGTGAAGAAGGGGAAGATTCTGCTTACCTTATAGTAGCAAAATATAAAATTAAGCAGAGAAGACTCCTGAAGCCATGCACTCTTAAAATAGGTCTCCTAAGAAAGTAGGTGTCATTTTTACAGTCACTTTCAGATTAGAACTGCACTGCAAGGTGTAATTATGATCAGAAAAGTGACCATGTAATATGGAACCTTCTTATTCAGATCACCTCCCTATTGTGTGTTAGTCTGTTTTGCTTGCTTTATTTTTAAAATTAAATTATTTCTACTTGCTTTTATTAGCACCACAGTACTGTCATACAGGTATGGAGAGTTAACTAAGAACCGGTTATAAAATCTTACTTGTGTAATTGAGAGAAAAGGATACTCAACTTGACTTTCTGATCCCATGCAGGACTGGCAGTTAACATAACTTGTGAAACATTTTATTTGTACAAAATTTGCGCACTTTACAGATCCATTGAGAGAAACATGGAACTCCATGATGCACTTTCTATAGTAACTTCAGAGTATAACCTTAAAATCCATTGTCATTCATATTATTATTTATATAATATATGTTTTATACATGTTTAGTTTTTAAGTGCTGGGGCTGATTTAAAAATATCTTTAAACTTACAACCAGTAGCATGATACGATTCATAAATTGCTTCCTCCCATCACTATTTTATCAGTGTAATGAAACTTTCCCCTGTTGGAAAATTAAATGGACGTAATTTTATTGTAACCTATATATAGGGTTAAACAGAAAAAAAGTTCTGTCTTTAAGCTATGTGTATTGATGGTGTATTACATAATTAAAGCAAGTACAGTAACTCCTCACTTAACATCCTCCCAGTTAACGTTGTTTCGCTATTAGGATGCTGACCTATTAGAGAACATACTCCTTTAAAGTCCTGCAATGTTCCCTTATAACAGGGGTCGGCAGCCTTCGGCACGCGGCCATCGGGGTAATCCACTGGCAGGCTGCGAGACATTTTGTTTACATTGACTGTCACCAGGCACGGCCCTGTGGCCCCTGGCTTCCCGCAGCTCCCATTGGCTGGGAATGGTGAACTGCGGCCAGTGGGAGCTGTGGGGGGCTGTGCCTGCGGACAGTCAACGTAAACAAAATGTCTCGTGGTCCACCAGTGGATTACCCTGATAGGCCACATGCCGAAGGTTGCCGACCCCTGCCTTACAACGTTGTTTGGCTCCCCCGCTCCGCCCTCCCGGTGCTCCTGGCAGGGACCGGGTTAGGGCGCGGGGGCTTGCCCCGCTCTGCCCGCCAGGTGTTCCAGCTGGGGAGTGGGGTGGGGCATGCAAGGGCTTGCCCCATTCCACCCACCGGGCGCTCCTGTGGGGAGTGGGGTGGGGTGTGGGGGCTTGCCCCATTCCGCCCACCCAGGGCTTCTGCACTGGGGTGCAGAGACTTGCCCTGTTCTGCCTGCCCAGAGCTCCTGCCGGGGAGCAGGGTGGTGGTGGTGTGGTTCCTGCCCGCCCGGGGCTCCTTCCGGGGAGTGGGCAGGAACCCTGCTCCCCAGTTGGAATGCCGGGCGGGTGGAACTGGGCAAGCCCCCACGCCCTCATCCTGCTCCACTGCAGGAGCGTTGGGCGGGCGGAATGGGGCAAGCCCTCGCGCGTCCACCCCACTACACCCCTGCCTCAACCAAGCTTCACAATCATCATTGGTGAGTACAGTATTAAATTGTTTGTTTAAAATGATTTTAAACTTATACTGTGTATGTCTATATAATGTCTTTTGTCTGGTGAAAAAAATTTCCCTGGAACCTAGCGCCGCCTCCCACCACCCCGCCACCCCATTTATATTAATTCTTATGGGGAAATTGGATTTGCTTAACATTGTTTTGCTTAAAGTTGTATTTTTCGAGAACATATCTAGGATGTTAAGTGAGGAGTATGGATTTTAAGTGTATGGATTTTGAAATATGAAATTAATAGTACTGCCGTTAACAATGCTTTTTTTTTTTAACTAGTCATTTAAGAGAAGATTTTTCCACTTAATCCAACTTGGTGATGGATCATATAATCTCAACTTCTACAAAGATGAGAAAATATCTAAAGAGCCGAAAGGATCGATATTTTTGGATTCTTGTATGGGGGTGGTTCAGGTAAATATAATTGCACAGTCTGTTTTTTTACATATTGTGTGTGTAGATGATGAATTTATTAGACCAGAATTTTTCAAAATCTACATAATTATCCTGGGATATAATTATTAAACACATACTGCATACTTTTAAAATAGTCACATAAACAGGCAGGTACGCTACATGTTAGGAAGAAAAGTAGTTAGATTTTGTAGGTTGTGTTTTAAATTTTCAAAGTGGTTGTTTCTGAAAATGGACAAAGTCACTGATTTATGTGATGTGTTTATAAGAAACACATGGAGGCAAGCAGCAAGACAAATAAATGAAGAAAGCATGGAAAATTAATGAAAGCATAAAATTAAGTTCTATTACATTTTGTGTAGTTACATGGGCTGTAAAATGTTTTGCATAGCTTCTTGTGTGGGATTTTAGTTGTGGGAGTTGCATCATATTCACAGCCACCCTTCCAGATGCTTTCACTTGACCTTTTTACTTTTTAAAAATAAATGTTTGAAGCAAAAGATATAACTCTTTGGCCAAAAAGTTTTGCTAGTAGCAAGTGCCAGAGGATTGTTTTCATGGAGTTGTGTTATATGTTTACAGTACAGCATGTATCTGTTTTGTTAGGCAGAGCAGACCTGGAGACAACTGGGTTTTTAAGCTCTTAGCATTAAGTACTGAATCTGGACATAGTAACCTTAGTGGAAAGAATACATCTATAAATTATTTTGTATATGTATTTCCTTTCTTCCTTGCATAAACTTGTATAGAGGCTTAAAAAGGTCTACCCAAAATTATTTTCCAAATAGCACAAAAAATATTTGAATAAATTGATAATGTAAACTTGGCTGTAAAAGCCTTGTAGTTGTAACACAATTACTTAGGCATCAAGTTGATCAGATGTAGTGATTTACCAGTATTATCTTGGTTTAGAAAGTTAGTCCTGTCTAAACTTACTGAAACTGTAGATTGGTTCAAATTTAAATAGAACATGGCAGATAGACATCTGGTCACGATGCCCTCTTATTGCTCTTTGCCATGTTACCTCTTACTCACTCTTTCCCTGCCTTTCCCTAACTCTCTGTCACCCCTGACTAAGATGATGATAAATTCTAGCTCAGTTGTGCCAATGCTGGGCCTGAAGCACATACTGTCCCCCTAAACAACAAGTCTCTTTCACTGATTCTCATTATGGTACTGTGATATAGATGACGGGGTGCAGTCTAGAATATTCCATAATTCATAGCACGGTGGAGCACTAAGACTCAGTAGGAAGCAGCTGGCAGGGGAGGAGGCACATGGGCCCACTAGGAACGGATGGGCTTGAATTTTTCACCATGAAGGTATATTGTGCAGAGGGAAGTGGCAAAAAGCAGACACAATATAGGGGAGGAAAGGTTGTCCACCAAGTGACATGTTTCTCCTCCCTCTCAACCAAACTCTTTCATTCCTCACTCTTTGGCCCCAGTGACTTAAACTGAAATCTGAGTGCATTGTCCTGCACCCCCAGTTAGTGCATGTAAAAAAATCTCAACATCCTAATCTTTAGATTCCAAAGGACAGAAATAGTTCATAAATAGATGAGAGCAGAGTTTTTCTTCCTGCTTTAGTCAAGATTGTTAGTATTTACCATGATAAAGTTTTTGACCATTAGAAACAAACAAACTAAAATAAAACTAAGCTGAAATTTGATCTGCAGCAAATTCCTCTCCTCTGCATCTTCTCCCTCCTGAACTTTTCCAACAAAGGTCCTCACTGTGTTTTTTGTGAATGACTGAGGAGCCTCTACTTTTGCTCATTTTACAGTATCTTCCCTTGAAATCCTGTCTCAGGGTCTCATCTCTGTAGTTCAGGAGCCTTGGATAGGAGTTCCTTGTGGAGTGCTTAAGCACTTTTGTCCAGAGGGTTACTCTCATATTCTTGCTGCCTTTATTCCCCCATTTCTCTGTTGCACCTAAGGTTGTGAGCCTGTAGACTCTTTTTATAAGTTATACTAGCATAAGGAGGGAAAAAAACTTTTATAAACACTAAAAAACAAAAACTCAGTAAAGACACTGGTTATTATGGCTCATTATAACAATCTGCAACCCATTAACCCACCTTTAATCTATGACTGCAGAGGTGTTAACAGCCCACTTCACTTTGAGTGGTCTCTTGCAACATGTGTTAACCCTGTATACTTAACAGTGTGTTCCACCTTGTATTTAGCTGTAACACTCTGAATACTTTTCCTGGACTTGAAGAAGAGCACTGTGTAAGCTTCAGGCCTGCACAACTCGTAAAGTGGCGAGGGCCATATTACTCCAAAGAAAACAGCTGAGGGCCGAAACCCCCCGGCCCCGCCGAACCCCCGCCCCAGCACCACCCAGCCACCCCCGAAACACAACACCCCCTCCCAGCGC